GTAACTGATGCAGTCTGATGCAAGCTGTATTCTTCAGCAAAGAAACCTCTGAGGGTGCACACAGATGCCCAACTTCAGAATGAGGGCATCTGGAAAAGGGCGAACGTATTCTCTCCCCGGGAAGCCGCTAAATACAGTTCTGGTCCATTCAGGATGGTGTCTTTGAAAACGTCTCTGCAGCTCTTGCCTTGCAGGTCCTCTGGCACCTCCATGGTGTTGGTGAGGCGGCTTGAGAGACTCAGCATGTGGGAGCTCAGGAGTGGAAGGGAAGGAGGTGTGCGCGAGACGCTAACCCTGCCCCAACCAGGGCAGTTCTACTTTAGTACTTATTAGAGTTTGTCGTGAGATTTTGTTTTTAAAAGGTTCCACTGCTATTTTTTAAGCACACACACAGAACATCAAAATTCGAGCCTTTATATTGGCCCCCGAGGCACCCCCTGGTCTCTCCGAAACTCCTTCTAGTTTTACCTCCCAGCCCAGGACACTGAATGATGGAAGTCAGCAGCAAACACGTCCACGCTCTCTCTTCCACACACACCCAGCTAATGACAGGCAGTGGTGGCTCTGCCTTTTATTTCCTTTACGATGATGGCCGTCCTCAGTTTCTCTGTTCTTCATTGTGACATTTTCTGGCCTATCCCATCCCCCAGGGATCTCTTCCTTTGGTTGATTTTTTGGGGGCGTTTTTTTTATTCTTTTGGAACCCTTTTTACCCTTTTTATTCCTTTTGGTTTTTTTTTTGGTTTTTCGGTTTTTTTTTTTTCTATTATTGGACTGCAAGTTTTTCAGGGGCAGAGGTAGCTTATTGCTTTTTAAGTCAACTCTTCACTCCTTTTCTCCCACCCTCCACCATCTCCAAGAGCTACTAGTTCGCTACTAATTTCATATTTTTCAAACAATAATCAGGAGTTTGCTTTGCCTAACTTGCAGTGGAGTGCCTTTAATTTCAACAGACAGATACACATGCAAACACACACGTAAGCAAAGGATATAAAAAGTCAGTTAAATGTGTGAAGTTGGATCGGGTATCACATAGAAATGCAGACATTATACGTGTATAAGCTCAGAAGTATATAATCTTTTATACGTGTGTAGTGGGGACAGTTTTATGGAGGATTTATTTGTGTTATCCACCCAGAATTTCCTAACATGCTAAGGCAGCAGTTCTCAACCTGTGGGTCGCAACCCCATTTTAACAATGAAGATGCATTATGGCATTAGGAAGGTTGAGAACCACTGCACTAAGGGAAGCAGGATAGTTTTGCAGCTTTTTAGGTGAGCGTGTGAAGCGGGGTCCTCATTTCCTGCCCCAATCTCTGAGCATGGCTGCAAGAACATTAACCTCTCCCAGAGAAAGTTGGAATCTAGCCAAATAGAATTACTGATTTTATATATAAACTCCAAGGAGCATAGATTATGTTGCTGTCTTGTTCGATTGTATGGTATGGCTAGAATTTAAATTAAATGTTACTGGGCTCTGTTATTCAGAAAACTGCTTTTCTCATTTAACTGTTTGTCTTTCAGTAAAATGATCAACCTCTCTGTGCCAGACACGATTGATGAGAGAACAATCAACAAAAAGAAACTCACCCCTTTCACCATTCAGGTACGTCTTCCCACCAGGGCCTTAATACGGGATTTGTGTGGAATGTGCTCCCTAGCTGCTGAGTCAGCCCTTTCCGGCGCTGAGACATCATTTCCAAAACCCAGTCTTTGGGTGGTGATTTGTCAAACTTAGGAATAGAGGGATACGTTTCTGTAGCAGGGGAAAGGAGGCTGATGGAGTGTTCCAATCTGGGAGCTTGTATATTTGTTTTGGCCATTAGGAATAAAAATTCACATTGGCTACATTTTTAACTCAAACTTCCCCTATAAATTTATCTTTTAGCTGATGCCCCAAACACAGCATTTTAGCTGAAATGATAAGCCTTTTCTAAGAAGTGAGGGATGAAAGACGGGAAGTACTCTGGCAGCCTTTATGGTGAAATTGACCACAGCCACAAGTGTAATAAATATAACTCGCTTTTATTCCTTCAATTTGTTGATTAGCTGGAATAGTAACCAGCAGTAGCTGTATTTCTGTGTTATGTTCCAATATTTTAACATAATTATAATTCTCTGGCTCAGAAACCCTGTCTAACGTCTTAAATCATGAACAGTATATTATCTCCCATTTGGTTTTAAGCAACCCCATGTATTTTCAAAATGAAAGTGGTAACCAAATTGAGAACAATAATTAACCATATATGAATGCACTTAATGTTAAATTTACTCATGATCTTGGTCATAAGTAGAAACAATATCTTTCACTTATCATTTGAGCTCCAGGACAAGAATGCATTTTTCTTCTGATAGTGCCCTTCTCAATTCGCTGGTGGGTTTTGTTTTTTAAATTATCGTAAAAACAACTTCTCTACATCTCTGACACTGATACCTCCTCCTTTATGGACCCAAGAATAGTGCCCAGACTCCAGACTGAAAGAGTCATCGACTCTGTTCCAACTGTGTATGTACCTGGGTTGTTATTAGTCATAAGAATATACCATCTGTGGAGGTGTGTGCTCAGAGTCCCTGGTTATCATGGATACTCAATAAATCGAGCTTGTGAAAACCATTCCATCTCTTCTGGGAATTTGATTGGTATCTTTTTTTTTTCATTTTCTTAATACCAAATTTGCAAGTAAATAAAGTTATTCTGCTTCTCTCTTTTATGACCTTGTTTTACATCCACAATTGTCTTATTAATGATAGTCAGGGACAGGACAATGGCTTCCCTGAAAGTGTTCCTTTATTTCTGGCTAATGGAGATGTTGCCTGTGTAGACTTCATCACAGATCTAGACAAAGAAATATAAGACTCCTGGGTGGTGCTTGTGGCGCAAAGGAGGAGGGCACTGGCCCCATATACCGGAGGTGGCAGGTTCAAACCTGGCCCTGGCCCCGCCCCCCCCCAAAATAAATAAACTGCCAAAAAAAAAAAAGAAAGAAATATAAGACTCCTTAGTCTCATGCTGAGCAGGGTGCTGATTTGAACAGGCTGCTGCATAAACTCAGTGTCTGGGTTCCTGGGTTTTCTCTCATAGTTTGTTACTTATTTCTTAATGTTAAAACTACTGAAGACTATCCCTGTAGACCTATGAACTTTCCAGAAGGGAAACATTGTTGCTTTTGCCAATCAATAATGATTATTTACCATCTACAAAGTCTAAAATTTGCATGCCTTTCTTTTCTCCCTCAGGAAAATTTGAATTTGGCTCTGAACTCTTCTTCAGCCATTGGGTGCCATGTGGTTAACATAGGAGCTGAGGACCTAAAGGAGGGGAAGCCTTATCTAGTCCTGGGACTGTTGTGGCAAGTCATCAAGATTGGGCTGTTCGCTGACATTGAGCTCAGCAGAAATGAAGGTAAGAGCAGAGTCTCCAGCGTTACAGATGGCATGGCTTTTCAGTATACCAATGTATGTGTTGGGGGCCACATAGGGGAAGATGTCGGAAAGTTTTGAAAATGACACAGTTATGTTGAATCCATGGCATCAATGTAATAGATTCTTTCCACACCGATCAGACTTTTTAAAATGCCAGACCAAAAGCTTTTTAAGACCACAGACTAATAACAATGCTCATTTGGAGTGCATAGCTCAGTCTAGTTGTCTGGGATGCCAACCTCAAGAGCTTTTTTCGGAGCTCACTTTGCCTTTAGGTCCTTCATAATGAATAAGACCACTTTTAGCTTGTATTTTATAAAGCAATTCACATTCATAGATTGCAGTGGGAGCATCAGATTAGGAGAAACTTGGTCTATTTCTTATCAAGACTTTAGAGGAAGATGTAGGTCAGAAAATACAAAGTTGCAATTATATATGATGAATAAGTCTAGAGAGCAAATGTATCACATGAGAGCTATTATGTTGCATACTAGTAATGTGCCAAGAGAGTAGATTTTAGGTATTCTAACCACCAATCAATCAATCAATCAATCAATAAAAATTTTTAAAAAGAAAAAGATACAAGAAAGGTAAGTATATGAGCTGGTGGGTATGTTAATTTATTTCACCCAGGTAATTCCCTTACTATATATGTGTATATTAAGATACATCTATCACGACATATACACCTTAAATATATACATTAAAAATAATTTTTATAAGATTGCAGACAATTACATTTACAGTGTCGAAGTTCTCAACTAAATGTGTGTCTGCCGATCCTATTCAATCTCCCCTCCGTATCTTGTTTGGACTTCAACATTGATAACCCTGCTGCTTAGACAGGGGTAGTAGACCTTGATAAGTACCGTACAAAACATGGTGTTACCTTTTAGTTTTCACATACAAATTCCACCAGTATGAAATCTGTAGCCAAATTCTAATCTTTAGTTTTGCATGCTTTTTATTTATGTGTTCAAATCACAAGAACCAGTGAGGAATAATTATTTTAAAACCAATATATTACACAAAATATAAAAAAGGGGAGAAAAGGCAAATAGAGATTTCAGAGCCCGTAAGAAAGAATACTGATCTTTCAAATACCGACTTCAGCTAGATTTAAACCTTCTAACTGGGCAAAAAAAGATTTATTCACCTGGGGAAAGAGAGGATAGTTGATTACATTGTTCAGTTGCTATAATTAGGCAGATAAGCATTTGAAATATACAAGACCTATGGGATTAGACAAGAGAACATTGTCATTATTACAACATTGATCTCTTAAAAGCGAAAGTGTTGTCATCTCATGAGACGTGGTCTGACGGACCCAGCCAGACGTTCTGAGCCAGCAGCCTTGGTTCTTTTCATGGCTCTGCACTGATGTTCTTAAACACAGTATTGAGATTCATTGTTTCTTATCGTCTCCACCTGAAAAATGGGAATAATGAATAAGCTCACAACAGGGGGAATACAATGTTACTCCGTGGGAAAGGCTATGAAAACCTTTACTCCAAAGAGGGAACGTTGCTATCTTAGCTTTTCAGTAGAATGTTTATAGTTATAACTGGAAGTTATAACTAGTCTCCCCAAACATCTCTCTGTATTCATTTGTTTTATGGTTTCTGTACTTTTTCAGCTCTGATTGCTCTTTTGAGAGAAGGGGAGAGCCTGGAGGATTTGATGAAACTCTCCCCTGAAGACCTCCTGCTGAGGTGGGCTAATTACCACCTGGAAAATGCAGGCTGCAACAAAATTGGCAACTTCAGTACAGACATCAAGGTAGGAGGAATGTCATCTGAACACGACTAACTGCAGCAGTGAAGGGGACTGTGGGGGTTCATGGAGAAAAGGCAAAGATAAGGGCCTCATCTCTTCAGAAGCTGGGTTAGTTTGGGAGCCCCTCGCTGTTCTGAAGAGCCTGTCTGCAGCTCTCGTGCGGGGCCACCCATGGATCTGCCAAAGGCCTAGGGCAGCCATGCAGGGAGGTGGGTCTCCATTGGCGTTTCAGCATCAGGGAATAAAGGGACGGGGGGAGGTAGAGGAATGGCAAGAGATCAGACTGCTTTTCTGGTACAGAGAGTATATAGAGGACTGTAATGTCTCCGGTTTTCTAAATAGAAGCATCATATGGGAATAATTTTTAAAACTTAGGTGAAGATGACTCTTCTGTTTACACTAATAACAGATATGTTGGCTACCTGCCGCACTGTTTTATCCGTGTATTCTCTCAGGGAATCCTCAACAACAACCCATGAGATAAGGATTATTATCCCCTCATTTTACAGATAAGGAAACTGAGACAAAGAGATCCGCCAGGGGAAAGGCTGAGGCAGGCGGACTTTGTGCTTTTCAGATGTAGGAAAAGCTTCATGCCGAGGTGAAAGGAAACCACTGTTGGTTGATGACAGATGGGGGAAGATAGAAAGAGCTGAAGGAGCGACAGTGAAGTTATAGAAAGCAGTCCCCCGCGGAAAGTACGGGAGACGGAAAATGTTTCAGTCTTCCCTTTCTCAAAAGTTAAAGAAGTTTTCCCCAAAGAGAAAGAGTCAGAGGAAAGAAAGGTCACGGGACTCACCAACCATCTACCCAGACTTGTAATTCTTTGAGTGACAGCTTCCCACTGCTGCACACACAATGGGGCTGAGACCTCAAGGCGCACCCAGCACTGTGCCACTGAGAGTCAGGCTTCTAGAAGAAACACCCATAAGCAGTAGGTGCTAGAATGTGATGTCTGAGCAGCCAGTGCCTTTGGGAGATGTCGTTATGTCACAGAAAATCTGCAAAGGTGGGGAGGTGCCTATACTAGAGTGACTGGGAGAGGTTTATTAGGGTCAGATGAAATTACTTGACTTAGCCAAGATAATAAGATAACACAGGATAGGCAGATTTTACTGGTGCCTAACACCTGCAGAGACTTTTCACTGACTTCTAAACAGCCATGGTGGAAGGTAAGAAGAGAGGGGTGGATCGTTTCCCCAGGTGCCCCCTCTGCGGCACTCTCTCCTTCTCATCTTTCTAGTGCCAAATGCGATGAGCTCACCTCACCTCTGTCCACGTCCTACCCAGTTTTAAAATCCAAGTAACAGCTGATTTTTTGACCCTTAGGAGAAACTGTGAGGCTTTTAAATAATTTAAATGAATGACCTGAAAATCTGTATGCTTGCATTGACTGAGATAAAATGCATATTTCTCAGACACTGATTCTGAGAAGTCTTTTTGTCAATAAGCACATTTCCAGAATCTAAGAAAACCTGAGAATCTCAATACTTGTATTCCATCTGCTTTAACTAAATTTAACCCTTTTTCCTAGCTTCTAAGTAAAGATCAAACGCTTGTCGTCTTGGTAATTCTCCTTGTACAGAAAGATTGCTTGTTAATGCTTCAACCTTCTGTCTTTGAAATTATTTTTCTTTTGCTGATTGTCTATTTAAATGTATTTTTAAACACTGCTTTAAACTTCTGCTTCCTCTTTCTGCCACTTTTTTTTTTAAATTAAACCTTAGCTGACTGACTTCTACAGCAATATAAAGGTATATCTATATTTTTTTCTGTATACAATTTAATACATGTAAATAAGTTGTTTCTCCCCCGCCCCCCAAGAACAACAGAATAGTATCTGCTTCTTTGGACTGCCCTGTGTGGATGTCTTGTATTTTTCATGGTTAGACTCCTTTTAAAAAGAAAAGCAAACATAACGTGTAAACAGAACATTCAAATCAGTGAATGTTTCCGGTTTTATTAATTAAGTCACATTCTTGAGTGATAGTTGAATAAGAAACAAAATGTTTGCTTTGGGGAACTCGTGGTTGTGCTAAGGATGTGATTAGCTGAGCTGCTCTGAGATTGTAATTTCTTCATTTCTCACAGGACTCAAAAGCGTATTACCACCTGCTGGAGCAGGTGGCCCCCAAAGGGGATGAAGAAGGCATCCCTGCGGTTGTTATTGACATGTCAGGACTGAGGGTAAGGCCCTGTCCCTGGCTGTGTTTGGAGAACCTGACGCTGCCTCTGTGCTGGCGGGTCATTTGCTCCACATGACGTTGGCTCTGGAGTTCCATCAGTGGGCGTTTCTGCTGAAAGCCCTGTTAAAACTGTTAGCAGTTATGGATAGAAATTGATGAAAGCTGACTCTGGAAATAAAACATTAAACAAAGAAATGAACACTAATTAAATGCTACATAGCATACTAAGCACTCAACATTTCCATCATTGAGCATTTAATAGGCTGTGGAACACCAACATGGATCTGAATGTTAAAACTTCAGTTCTGCTGCCACTTTGATTTTGAGAAGTCACCTGGCCTATTTTTGTTCCTCATTTGATATCACTGGCATCAAATCCAATGAGTTAATATTGAAGTCAACTCATTCCTAATGAGAAGTGAAGTAAACTAAATGAGAAATAAATCTCATGAGATTATCATGTAATGTGTAGTGTTATATAGTAAAGCATCATATTAACAAATAATGCCAGTTTAAAGTTCCGTTTTCTGAAAATTGGTGGTTTCACAGACTCTAAGGACAGTGTATTGTATTTCAACAAAATTTCAGTCTTGTTATATGAGTCTGGTTGTACATGACTGGAGATGCTCTAGAATTATTTCAGCATGGGAAATAAATGGTTCTCAATTTGAAGTCTGCAAAAGTCAAATTGTTATTAATATATTTATCAATGATAAATTGTTGGTTAACAGATGAAATTTATTTTGTTTGGGTTTCCTCAGTGTGGGGAAAGTAGTTAGACTTATTATGATGTTCTCATTGGCCAGTGCAAGTCTCTTTTACCAATTGGAAATGGTAAAATAAATTTTTACTTAATAAACTTTTTTTTTTAACAGAGTCTCAAGCTGTCACCCTGGGAGGAGTGCTGTGGCATCATAGCTCACAGCAACCTCCAACTCTTGGGCTCAAGCTATCCTCTTGCCTTAGGTTTTCTATTTTTAGTATAGACGGGGTCTCGTTCTTGCTCAGGCTGGTCTTGAACCTATGAGCTCCAGCAATCCACCTGTCTCTGCCTCCCAGAGTGCTGGAATTACAGGCATGAGCCACTGTGCCTGGTCTTTAATAAACATTTTTGATAGACAAAAATCTTATATCTTATGAAATCTGTGCAAGAAGATAATATAAAGGAATTTTAATGGTTGGAGATAACTAAAATCAACTCAAAAGACAAAATTGTGGAATCTAGTGCATCTCTTTCAAAATACCCATGAAACTATTCATCTGAAATTCTTCCATGTAGAGAGAGGTCTTGATTACCATCTGAGATTCCTTTCACTTGTGACTTTCTGAATTTGGTGCATAGAAGCAATAATTCCTTGCTCTTAGGAATTGTCTTCCTGAGATAAACACTAAGGATTTTCGTGAGATTTCCATTTATTTTTCATGTTAAGCATATCTACTGTGTGTGTGGAGCCCAGACCCAGCCTTGAGATGTCCTTTTTCATTGCAGGAGAAAGATGACATCCAGAGGGCAGAATGCATGCTGCAGCAGGCAGAGAGGCTGGGCTGCCGGCAGTTTGTCACCGCCACGGATGTTGTCCGAGGGAACCCCAAGTTGAACTTGGCTTTCATTGCCAATCTCTTTAACAGATACCCTGCCCTGCACAAACCAGAGAACCAGGACATTGACTGGGGGGCTCTTGAAGGTAATAAGCTAGTTGCTTAAGATGTTCCAGAAAGCACTCACAATTCTAATTCAATGGCAATTCAAAATCACTTTCTGAGCAACTATAAACCCCTCACACATGGCAAACAGGCCATTAATTCTCTGGTATACAACAAAGAGAATAAACAGATTCATCAAGTCAATTGCAGCATAGCAGGAATAATCAAATACCATTATATCACATCCATTATACATAGGCTTCATCCATTATCAGAATTAAATGTTTTACGGAAGATAATGCCTTTAATTATAAGATGAAATAAATCCTGAGTTCCAAACGATCTAATTTATGTACTTAATGGACTGTGTTAATTCCTAGAGGAAAGAATTGCCCCTACTCATCATCTAAAAATAATACTTAACTTATGCTGGGATGTGCTTACGGAGTTTTTGGTTTTGTTTTGTTTCTTTGATTTGGATTATTACGAAGTATTTTGAGGCAGCATCTCTGACAGTTTTATTTTTCTGGTTAACACCCTGCGATGCAACAAAAAACAAATAGGTTTAGACAGAGTATACCAGGTAAAGGTGCCAGAGCTATTTACTTTACTTTTTCTTTCATCATAAACTAATCCCAATATTGAGACAATAAAAAGTCAAAATTAATGTTCTATGAATGTCACGCGAGCAATGAAATCCGTATTTAAAGTTTTGGTTGATCCTTTTCCGCAATGCTTTACTGTAGCTGGAAGTACAATATCATCTGTGTTCCAACACTGCTGTGTTTATACCGTTTGATAAATTATGGTCAGGGAGCTGTGTATTTTGTTAACTCCCAAATCTACATATCAAGCCCACTAATCACCCATTTCAGCTGTCTCTAGCATATTCCTCCTCGGTTAGCATTTGAAATGCAGATAAATAAAACAGAATTGATCATTCCTTCCCCCCACCCCACCTTCGCCTTTCTACTCACCCCCATCCCATCTGCTCCCCTTTAGAAATTCTCCATTTCCATTAATCATACTGTTTTTGTTTTTTCCTGTAGTCACCAAAACGGCAGACCTTAGGGTCTACCGCGACATCTTCCTCTCCTTCACACCTAACTCAGTTAAATCAGCAAGTACTAATAATTCTTCCTTTGGAATGTCTTCAGGATTATTATTTTTCCTTTCCACTCCTCTGAACCCTTATTACCTCATACACCAATTATTTTAATCGGTCTTAGGGGCCTGTTCCTCCATTCATCAAACACTTGAACGTGTCCCATGTGCGAGTGCCAAACGCTCTCCCCTCTGCTGCGTGTTTAATTCAAATGCTTAATGCCTTTCAGTAATTCTGCACGTTGCTGCCAGGCACATCCTGGGACCACTTTCATTATATCTCTGCTTTGCTAAAAAATTTATGATAGTAATAAAAAAAGAACCCATAATGGCTGCCATTGTCTAATATATCAGCTAAAATCTGCTCCCTTCGTCGAGAGGTGGCTGACTCAGGCTCCAGCCTCGGCCCAGCTTCATCTCTGTTTACTGTACAACAAGCATCCCTGACCAGTCAGTTCCTGGTGTTCTTTGTAGAGATCGTGCCTGTCATTCCTTGTGTGTGCATATTCCTGCCCCTTTGCCATCCCGCCCCCAATCCTCTACTCCTTCCTCTTTGCCGTCCAGATTTTTGTTCATCATACAAGGTAAAACTCAAACCTCACCCCTTCCACATTTAGCCCATTCAACTCTTTTTCTTGTTTCAACTCAAACAGCAAATATCTCTGCCTCATCTGGGAGTTTTCTAGCTTGTGTGATCTCTGTTTGATGCTCAAAATTCTTATTTTTCCAACAAGAACATGAGCCTTGAGGGCCAACTGAACCGTTACCTCACACATAGGACCTCACACACCACTACTTGAGGCTACAGAAATACTTGTAGAATTGAAATGGCAAAATGAAATTTACCATAGAATAGTAGACTTTATCCAAATCCAATAGGGTTTATTTCATTTAATCCTTTCATTCTGCTTTAAGTTTTTATTGTGGCCTATCTAAGCTTTGATCATTAAAAAGGCAGGTTTTCTAGAGGCTTAAAGGTAACCAGTCTTCATTAATCTAGGTGAGACAAGAGAAGAGAGGACGTTTAGGAACTGGATGAACTCCCTGGGTGTTAACCCTCGAGTCAATCATTTGTACAGGTAAGAATATTTGGGAACTCATTTTTTTTGTTGTTGAGACAGAGTCTCACTATGTCAACCTCAGTAGAGTGCTGTGGCATCACAGCTCACAGCAACCTCAAACTCTTCAGCTCAAGTGATTCTCTTGCCTCAGCCTCCCAAGTAGCTGGGATACAGGGGCCCACCACAACACCTGGCTATTTTTTGTTGTTGCTGCAGTTGTCATTGTTGTTTAGCTGGCCCAGGCCAGGTTTGAACCCGCCAGCCTTGGTGTATATGGCTGGCTCTGTAAACACTGTGCTATAGGCTCCAAGCCTAGGAACTCCTTCTTATTGTGAGACAGGGACTTTGAAAGATCCATAGGATTTCAAATATGGCTATGATGTGCGTTTTCAAAATGAACGTGTATAATTTGATGAAAGGGGAAAAGTGCCAAAGGGAGCGTCAGATGTTAGCTGTTCAGCTGAGAAACTCACCTCCACACTCCAGCCTACCTGTGCGGGCTTACTACTGAAATCAGACCTCAGCAAAAGGACACATTTACTCGATATTGTCAGCTAAGCACCTGCTCACAACCAGGCAACACAATGGAATGTTGTTTGCAGTGAGGTCTCTCTTAATGCCATGTGTTAAAGGTGTATTTCTTTTCTTGGAGGCAGTGTATGTTAGCTGAAGGGGCATAGAGAGACACACAGAGGCAGAATAAATTCTCCAATTTCTGAGTCGCAGTTCCTTCACCTCTAAAGATGGGGCCCCTGCTTCCAGGTACGCAGTTCCTTGACCTAATACAAAGGAAGTGTCTGGCCCATTGTAGACCCTGGGTAAGGTGAGAAACTTCTTTGTTTTCTGAGATTTTTTTTTTTTTTTTGATAATTCTTTTTTTGTTGTTTGTTTTTTCCAGTGACCTATCAGATGCCCTGGTCATCTTCCAGCTCTATGAAAAGACTAAAGTCCCTGTTGACTGGAACCGAGTAAACAAACCACCGTACCCCAAACTGGGGGAAAATATGAAGAAGGTAAACAATGATTACCCTAATGTTCTGATACCAGGTGAAGTCGCTAGCCTGAAAGAGCACTCTCTGAGTTCTTTCTCAGGCAGCCAAGCTTGGGTGAGTAATATTTATCCAGGAATTAAATTGTACTCCAGCAATCAGAGACCTGAATACTTTTATCAAAGTGAGTCCATTATTCATTTGATTACTTATTTATAATTCCATGTTGGATGTCTTTAAACATGATCATGTAAAAATTCTAATTAAGATAATGAGAACAAGCAGAGCCACAGGGATTTTCACCTCAGCAGGATCCTCATTGTGATTTCTGAAGAACTGGAGCTTTGTACTGACAGCTTGACTTATACAAATAGTCTGTCTACTGTCAACTCGGTGGGAACATTGTTTTGAAAACAACAGGGTTGACACAGCCATTTCTCACCATTCTTTGTCTCCATGACTCTTAATGATCCCTGGGTAGGCACAGGAATATCTGTTCCATATCTTTGCCCAGTTTGCCTGCATAGGATGGAGAATCCAAATTTTCCACGTCACCCTCCGTGAATTCAGTTACTTTAGAAATATTACGGACTGGTAACTAAGGATGGCTCTCTGTTACATTGTGTGCTATAGCCACGCAAATAATCATAGCAATGAATTCATTTTGGTTTTGTGCTTGAGTACACTGTGAACATTTTTTTATATAAGGGAGGAGTTCTACTTAAGGAAAGATAGAAAATTCTGTAAGTTTAGCATCCTAAAATTGCAGAGCCGGTTGAGATTTGAGAGATCATTCAGTCTGATCATATTTATTTCATTTTGTATCTTTTTTATTATTCCGTCTGGTCATTGAGGCGATAGCATTGAATTGGTTTCCTTTCTGCTCATTAACAGCTGGAGAATTGTAACTATGCAGTGGAACTGGGGAAGAATCAAGCTAAGTTTTCCCTGGTTGGCATTGGTGGACAAGATCTCAATGAAGGAAACCGCACTCTCACCTTGGCCTTGATGTGGCAGCTAATGAGAAGGTAGTACGACTCATGGGAGTCGTTTATTCCATCGTTTATTTACCTAGCAAAATTTTAGGTGTATGATTTAATTCAGTAAAACTGTTTTAAGCTAAACTTTTTTATTTTTCTGCTTTTTTTTCCTTTTCGTTTTGTCAATTTTTCATGTCTTCTGCCATGAGAAACTCTACTATGAGGTTTAAGAGCATTTTAGATTATTGCTTCATCTTGATTTCATCACCCTGTTGTCATTATAGGGTGACCCTTTTTTATGCCTAGTAATATTCTTTTTTTCCTGCAATCTACTTTTCCACAGCTAACACAGCTTCTTCTTGATTAGTGGTAAACATGTTTTATTTTTTCCATCCTTTTACCTTTTAACTGATGTATGTAAATAACAGTTATCTCTTAAAGATTTTTTTTTTTTTTTGAGACATTGTCTCACTATGCTGCCCTCAGTATAGTGTCATGGCGTCACAGCTCACAGAAACCTCAAACTCTTGGGTTTAAGTGATTCTCTTGCCTGAGCCAGCTGCCACAGTGCCCTCCTACTTTTTGTTACAGTTGTCATTGTTTATCTGGCCCAGGCCAGGTTTGCACCTGTCAGCCTTGGTGTATGTATCTGGCATCATAAACTACTGTGCTATGGGTGCCGAGCCTAAAGATATTTTTTAAATGGGAGGAAATTATGCTAATTTACCTACATATTTACTATTTCTGGTACTCTTTTTTCCACTGTATAGATCCGTATTTCCATTTGGTATCATTTTCTGTCTACCTGAAATACTTTTAATAGTGTAAGTCTACCAGTGATGAATTATTTCAGCTTCTACATGTCTGAGAAGGTCTATTTTATTTTTATTGTTGAAAAATTTTGGCCAAGCAAGGTGGCACATGTCTGTAATTGTAGCACCGTGGGGGGGGCCAAGGCAAGTAGATAGTTTGAGCTCAAGAGTTCAAGACCAGCTTGAGCAAGAGGGAGACTCCATCTCTACTAAAAATAGAAAAAATAGGAAGGTATTATGGTGGGCACCCATAGTCCCAGAAACTCAGAAGACTGAGGCAAGAGGATAGGTTAAACCCAGGAATTTGTGGTTGCTATAAGCTATGATGATGCCACAGAACTCTGGCCAGGATGACAAACTGAGACTCTGTCTCAACAACAACAAAAAAAGAAAAAGAAAAAAAGTTGTTTTTTTTTTTTTTCTCTGAATATAGAATTCTAGGTTGATGGGTTTTTCCTTCAGTACCTTAAAGATCATTTTCAGCACCTTCTTATCTTTTTTGTCTCCAACAAGAAATCTATTCTCTCTCTTATCTTTATTCCTTTGTATGTAATATATCTTTTTTCCTCTGGCCCCTTTTAATATTTCTTTTTATCACTAGTTTTAAGCAATTTTATTTTGTTGTGCGTTCTTATTTATTGAACTTTTTGGATCTAGGTTTGTACTCACCCACCTCTGTTTGGGGAGACTCCAATTACATGTATATTTTGTCATTTGAAGTTGTCCCTGAGCTCACTAATGGTCTATGTTTCATTTTTTCCTCTCTGTTTTATTTTGGATAATTTATATGGCTGTGGTTTCAGGTTTACTAGTCTCTCTCTCTCTCTTTTTTATTTTTGGTAAGGTCCAATGTTTCATTAACTCCATTCAGTAAATATTTATTTTTATCTTAACCTTATTGTTTCCATGTCTAGAAATTTTGAGTCCTTTTTATATCTTCCATATCTCTCTTTTTCCATACCTTTTTGAATATATATATGTGTGTGTGTATATATATATATGTGTGTGTATATATATATATATATATATTTTTTTTTTTAAACATAGTGTGCCCTTGGTAGAGTGCCATGATGTCACAGCTCACAGCAACCTCAAACTCTTGGGCTTACGTGATTCTCTTGCCTCAGCCTCCCAAGTAGCTGGTACTACAGGCATCCACCACAACACTCGGCTATTTTTTGGTTGTAGTTGTCATTGTTTGGCAGGCCTAGCCTGGATTTGAACCCGCCAGTTCCAGTGTATGTGGCTGGCTAGCCACAGAGCTATAGGCACTGAGCCTTGAATATATTGAGTATAATTATAATATTAACAACTTTTTTCTTGGTCCATTATGAGTTATCTTCATTATGAGTTATATTTCTTTACATGCTGCTAATTTTTTATTATATCAGATATTATGATTTTACCTCGCTAGGTACTGGACATTTCTGTATTCCTTTAAATATTTGTGAATTTTGTCCTGGAATGGAGTAAAGATCATTTTGAGGCTTACTGCTAAAGTTTATTGGTCTAGAGTTCATTCTTCCTCTTACTCCTGAAAAAGTACTCTTCTGAGTACTTTACTTGATGCTCATGTATGTATAAAACTTCCATGCCAACTGCTAGGAACCAGATAATTCCTGACTCTGTGCGAGCTCCAGGGCTTGCTCTATCTGGTGGTTATTTTCCTAGCTACCAATAGTTTCTTTACATCCATGCACTGAGCAATACCCAGCTGAAGACTTGAAATAAACCCTTTGGAGATCTCTAGACCTTTCTTTCTAGAAGATGGTCTTCTCTTTATAAAGTTGTCTCCTCTCCAGTCTTCTGCCCCACAACTTCCGTGAGTTCTCAGCTCTCTCCCCTCAATTCGGGGGACGGCTATGCCCTATTTGGGTTTTCTCTCCTTGCACTGCAGCTTGGAAACTCACTCCATACCAGGACAATCTTAGGGCTCACCTGGTTTGTTTTCTTCCAGGTACTGCTGTCCCATGCTCCTTGATCTCCAGTATCTAAGCATCGTTAGTCTATGTGCTTTACACTGTGTTTCAGGTGCTTAAATGTGATCCCTTTTACTCCAGCATGGCCAGAAACAGTAGTTCCTTTAATAGGCAACTTTAGGTATCTTTTAGAGCTGAATATAAACTTGGGAGAACTATAGGGAGATATTAATGAAACAATAATGGAACATGGTAAGATATGCAAATAGAAAATAAATTTTAAGACATACAAAATTTTTGGTACAAAAGCATGAGAAAGAATGTTAGTGGCTCTGTAAGTATAAAACAGTTTATTTAGTCCCAGTTGATTTTTCTCCTTACACTTCTGGCTCTCTTTGTAAGTACTTTAAAGTTTCTCTTTGTTCTTTTTAAATAAAATTTATCCTTGTTACATTGAAACTTGTGCAAGTTACTTTGCTCTCTGCTCACAATGCCTGTGCCACTTCAGTTTCATTTCTGGTTTCCATTTGTTTTTGTTTTCAATTACTGCCTTGCCTAAAAAAAAAAAAAAAATAGTTTGCTTTTAAATGCTTCCCTTTCCCCCCTGCAATGATGGCTCTGAGTAGGCAGGAATCTTACATTCCTCAACAAGAGCCTATGTTAGTATAACTTAATTCATTATTCTACTTGGAAGGAATCCCTAGAAACCACATGTCACATTACATTCTGTCTAACAAGGTAGGGGCAAAGACAGGGTTTATAGTAGCCCTAGGCACCTTTCGTCCCCAGCCACCGTCTGCAGATCCTTATATTCATGACTGGCTCTTGATGTAATTACTCAGTGTTTCCAGATGAGGCAGGATAATCAGAAGTGACCATGATAGATTTCACTGCCTGATTCACATTTGCTCTACCAAGTAAAAAGCTCCACTACCCATTTCTAAACTGGGGTCTCCTTAATGATGGAAGACAGTTGTCACGGGCTCCTCTAGCAACACAATACTCCAGATACCTGCGTTTTACCAGTGTGTTTTCAGAAACTATTTCTAAATTGTCTTTATTGTCTTTTATGTGTGCTTTGAATTTTTTAACACATTGGCTTGGAGTACCTAGTGCTTTAAAAACCAAAGCAAAAGTCATTTTAGTTGCAATAGTTAAAATGACTCATGGATTTCAATATTAAATAATCTTTGATATACTCAATTTTAATGATAAACTCAGGCCAACTCTGTTCTGTGTTGAATTTTATAATATCTGACAATCACCTTGTAATACTATCTTTGCTTTAGAAATTTTATAAAAATGTGCCCAAAGCCCTACTTTATGGCTGATATGCACATGATGAGGCCTACTCTGCTGCTACTGGTTAATAAGTCATATTTGTTATAGGTGTTTACTACACAGGAATTGTGCATATAAGAAAGTGAACAGAGAAATACATTACTGCCAAAGGAGAAGAAATGACTGATCATTATGTCAATGGTACCAGATAAAGAATTTTCTTTTTGCTCCGCATGCCATGCATTAAAAGAGCTATTAAATTTACGGCTAATTCTAGCTGAAATTTATTTCACTGAATTGCACAGATGTGCTAATTTGGTCATTTATCTGGACAATAAAAGGCTTGTCATCCTTGTGCCATCCTCCCCCTAAGAACAAATGGGAGATGTGTGCTTCAACTTCCCTTGCCCCTGCAGTAGCCTGGAAATCATTCTTGGGTTAAAGAGTTGGCAAATACGGTGTATATGAACTTAGAGATAAAAGCCTGCAATGCCGGTGACCACTAGACACAGCAAATGGACAGAGTCTGAGGCAGGTAAAGAAGTGAACTCTCCCCAAATCAAACAGGCTGTGGATGGTGAAATCAGGAAGGGTCCTTGAATAAGGTGACCAGATTTTAACATTGGTGAAGTGGGACACCATTGATTGGTAGTGGGGTGGGGCTGGGGTGGAGAGGGGTCTATATGGAGCAACAAAAATTTTCATAGAACGCAAAAATAGTATTGTAATTTTTTTTAATTTCAACGTAAGTACAATTTACAAATATAATACATTAAAAAAATTATGGATAGGGCAGCACCTGTGGCTCAAAGGAGTAGGGCGCTGGTCCACCTGGGTGACCTTGACCAGGAGGGGAGTAAGGAGTTTACATTAGCCTTTTCATTTCCAAATGAAGTTACATTAACCTCTTCATTCCCAAATGGAGTTACATTAACCTTTTCAGCAGCTGAAAACCATATTCCCTTCCCATTGGCCCGCCCTGCCCTAGATTGTCGTGCATTCTTTCCAAAAATCGGGACTTTTTTAAAACGCCGTGGGATGCAGGACAAATTGTTAAAAAGCAGGACGTCTGGTCACCTTACCCTTGAAACACAAAAGACCAAAATTTGTCCCTCTATGCCAAATGTTAAATAAATAAATCAAGTGTGCAAAGGCAGGAAAGTAAGTATGTAACAATTAACCCCCTCCAGTGCCCACATCCACTCATTAGTCTTGTTGGAGGAGGGTCTGGCTAAAGCCAGTTCATTTTGACAAAGAGCTTTTCAGCACGGCACCTTTCACAAACACCAGTAATACCGAGGTCGTATCCGGGTTCCATTTAATAATAGCACAGTTGCCCTAAAACCCACTTGATGATACGGGGAAATCTAGGAAGACAGAGGTCAAATTAGTTTTTGTTTTAAATTTTAGATCTGCATTTAGATGAGCATTTAGCTGTCTAGAGTTGAGGCTCCAGCCTAATTCTGTTCTTTCTTCCCTTTGTTTTCATTGCTGTATTTACACGTGGGAATATGATTTCAGTTTAAACTTCTGTATCAGAAAGACTGATCTGTGTTCCCCAGAACTCTGTGTCACTGTGAGGGGCTGTTCTTAAACCCCGAATGCAATAAGCTGTTCCACAATTTTCTAGACCCTATGTATTGGCTGCCTTTTTTTTTTTTTAACAGATAGACTTTTGTACAAAGGTGGGTGCCCCTCTGGACCATTTAGCCCCCAAGCTCAGGAAGTGTGTTGAAAACAGTGACTTGTGCAGGTGAACAAAGTCAGACGGGAACCCAGGCGAAGGGGAGGGAGGATTAAGTTCTGGGATGAAGGAAGAATAGAAAATTAACTTGGTTTGTCACCCCCTCCCAGGGTTGTGTATTGAGGGCTCCAACAAAGCAGGCGTCACCCTGCTGTTTCTTATCTCCATGTGCATTAGGCAGAGATTCCTAAATGTTACAGGAAATGCTAATAACGTGCTTCCCAGAAACCAGCCAGTTATGCCATAAAATGTAAGCATCTTTCCAAACTAGACATATTCTGAAATTCTGAGGCGTATCTCATTTATACGCCTTACTCTTTAGCATTTTAGTTGCGTCTTTGGGCCCAACCCAAACATTTCTCAACTTTGCTGGCTCCTTGCTTTCCCTGGGAGAAAGTCACTCTATTTATTTCAGCCACAGCTCTGTGCTTCCACTTACTGGATGGCCAGGAGCGCTAGGCATTCTGTTAAACTCTGAAAATGCCATAATGAACAGGGTACATGGATCCTGTCCAAGGGGACATGGTGGACAGCCACCCGATCCAGAGGCTTGATGAAAGTGTAAGAGTCGTGATTAATACACTGTCTGGATCAGAAAAGTGATGCTTGATCTGGGAATTGTCCAAAGGATGAGAAATTCCCTGGAAGGGAAGGGTGTCCCAGCCTGAGAGTACAGCTAGTCCTGGAAGCAGGAGGTGCGAGGATGCATGGTGTGGGCAGGAGCTGCTGAGGTTGAAAGGTGTGTGTGTCTGTGTGTGGGTGCAGGTATCGGTGTGTGCTTGGGGGTGGGGACATGGGACAGGAGAGGAAGAGGAGAAGAGAAGAAGGAAATCAAAGATGTTCTGACAAGGGAGACTGGAGCCAAATTGTGAAAGGCCTCGTGTGCCATACCCAGGAGCTTAACCTGTGTGTTCTTTGTGCCATCGAGAGTCACTTAAAATATGACCGGACCTGTACTTTAGAAAGGAAATCTTGTGAGAAGGAGACACAGCAGGAAGATGAGCTGGTTGATTTGAGAGGCATGATTGAGAGTGCATCACTGCCAGTTTGCTAAAGGTGACTTCTTTTCTTCATAAAGAAAATTGGCAGCCGCCATTTTCCACCCTCTCTTCAATGACGGGAAGGTGCTTTAACCTAGAGGAAGCAAGCATCGCTCCTATTTCAGGGATTAAACTTGAAAACCCTGCCGAAAGTTGTGGGAGAATTGTGTTTCCCTAGAAGCAGTAACTAGAGAAAGACACTCTGTGGATTATGTAAGCAAAATGCGGGGACACCCAGGGAGGGGGTGACCTCATTTAGGTAGTCCAGTCCCACAGGATTCTTGGGTTTCAGTTTGAGAAACCCACACCGTGGTCTTAGCCCTGAAGGTCTTTTGTGTGTAATCAGACCCCCTCCTGCAAAGCTGAACCATGAGGTCAGCAAACCTGCAGCCTGCGCAGCTGCCTGGCTTCCTCCCCATAAATCCCCTTTTGGAAAGGGGTGATTTAGGGAATGGCGATTCTTCTCTGCTGCAGGGAAATTGAAGAACTTGAAGTATCTTCTTAATAAATGTCGTCTCTACCCCACCCCAAAACCCCAATTCTTATATTCAACAAGGCAATTCTTGCCCTCAGACTAAAGATTCCCTTTGTCAGTGTATTCCTGACATTTTACTTACATGTGAAATAATCATTTATATTTGTTTCTGTATCACGTTGGCTAGTCTGACTTTTCTAACACTGAATTGTTTCTTGATTTTTGTGGTGCATTTAGGAAAACTGTCACGAGTTGGAAACTTTTGTTTTGTTTCTCTTTCCTTGAATTTCTCTCTTCTGCTTTTTCTTCCCACCCAGAGCAATGACACTGCTTAGAAGGATGTACTTTGCTTTGTATTTTATTACAACCACCATCAATTTCTATCTTCAGTCATTCTAAAAGGAACCAATGTGATCAGCGCTGCTATTTTTCCTTAAATGTAATGTCATCCAGACATTCTTCTCCGCCATACTTAGAAGGAAAAGAGAATGTCTACTTTGGGCTGTGTGCTGTTACACTGATGTCTTGAGCAACTTTTCTCCAAAAAAATCACTCTTGATTTTATACAGGTACACGCTGAATATCCTCGAAGAAATTGGTGGTGGCCAGAAGGTTAATGATGACATTATTGTCAACTGGGTGAATGAAACCTTGAAGGAGGCAGGGAAAAGTTCATCCATCTCTAGTTTCAAGGTAAAATTCTTCTCCTGCAGAGGCCACCGGAGCTTTCTGCGTCTCATTATTTTCACTATACGTTAACGTGACCTTCAGTGGCAGGTATTTCAGGCTTTCCCTCCCATTTTGATCTTGCTTAAATGACCCATTATTGTTTTGATGTGCACTGGCCATTTCACTGACAAATTTCCCGTCACTTTCTCCCATAATCGTTAATTTTAAGATCCCATCATTTTTAAGCATCATTTTCGGCATTATTCTTTCAAAGTGACATAAAATACGATAATCTTTTTAAATGTGCACACCTTTATGATTCAGATTTTTACCGTTTTCATGGTGAAATAGCAAACGCTAAAAGATCTCCTATGCAAAGTTTTTTTGGAGG